TGGGGGGGGGGGTCCCAGCACCAGGCCTGGTCTGGTCCAGCCTCTGTCACCACAGGGGGGTGTTCATACTGTCTTTCCAGCCAGTGTCCGGGGTAGGTAGACCTAACTTCGTCCAAACATCCTCTTCCTCGTCTGGAGCCTAGAGGAGCTAAAAATGCTTCGGCTTGGCCCCAGGAAAACAAACACCGCCCTTCCCCGCCTTTGTGTACAGGACACAGGCCTGAGGCCCGGCAGGCAGGTGGCAGGCTCCTAGGCTGGCCAGGGCTCGGCCTGTCTGCTTGCCTTCCTGGGGTCTCCTCGCCTGTAGTGCCAGAGCCTTATCAAGGGGGTGGGGGCTCCCCCAAGAAGGTGGCTGAGTGCCTGGGACCCTTCCCAGGCAGGAGACCCTCTCCCAGGCCTGCCTCTCAGCCTGGAGGGGGAGGGAGCAGTTGGCAAAAGTTAATTGTGACCACCTCTAATGACTCCTGCATTTCTGGATTGCAGCACAGCTTCTTGACACTAAATATTGAATAATGCAATGACTTAACTCACTCATTGCCAAAAAACAACTCATAGCTGCCCCTCTTTCTCCAGTTGAGCATCTAATGGATTCGAATCCTGTGCCTTCAGGATTGCAGCACAGCTTCCTGCCACTAGGGTCACCAGAGACCCCTGGCTCCTGCATTTCCAGTCAAAGCCAGATGCCACCGGGCACACTTTGGATGGATGGGCTCATTTAAGTTGTGAGGTCGCTGCTCCTGTTCCCCACCATTTACTCATGAGGAAACAGGATGGGAGAAGGTTAAGACACTTGCTCAAGGTCAGAGAGGTGGCAAAGGGTAGACTGAAGGCATCTCTGACGGGGAAACTTGCTTGAAGCCTCAGTTTCCCGTCCTCCCTGAGTGACTGTGAGGGTGGGCACGGGTGAAAGGAAGACAGTGTTTTGCCACCAAAGACCTTGTGGAGGGGGAGAAGGGGGTTGAGGACCTGGGGGAGGCTCGTCGAGGTCACATGACTGGGAGTGGCGCGTGGATTTTCCCATCACAGACCTTGAGTCTATTTGCGCCATAGCCTTGGAGAGTCCTCATTTCCTCCTTCTGGGGGAGGTGAGTCAGGGTGAGGTGGTGGTGGTGGTGGTGGTGCCAGCGCTTCCTCGATTAGCTATGTCATTCCTACCCTTGGATGTGCCCAGCTGTGCCAGGTACCCCTCACCCAACCAGGATCTCCGTTCCCAGGTCATGTGAGAGGCTTTTAAAAGCAGGGGTGGTGGTGGGGTGGTGGGTGAGGTGTGCTGCTTACACACTCAGCCTGTCAGCCCCCTGCCTTGGACAAGGTCCCATCTGAGTGGCTTTGGCCATCTGCCTGCTCTCCCAGGCCTTGACCTGTTGAGAGCTGGAGAATTATAGGGTGTGCACTGCACCCCAGGTCCCATATCTGGCCCTAGGCCCTTCCACCTGATGCCAAGATCCTCCATGTGGGGCTGTGGGGGATCCCCTTCTTTGGTTGTCTCCCCCTGGCTACAGCATCTACATCAGTGGCTGGCCAGGCAAGTTGTTTCGGTGCCTGTTCATTCCTTCAGCTGAGGAGAAGACAGCTACTGTGCACTGAGGGTGGGGATCTGGGTCACCAGGGGAGTGATGTCAAATAGGCATGATAACACGACCATGGTCCATGCCATTGTTAAAATAGTTTTCAGTCTGGGGGGCTTCCTGGAGGAGGTGCTGGATAAGCTGAATTACCAGGAGAGAAGCGTAGAGGTGCTGACCTTCAGAGAATGCTTGTATGGACAGACTCAAACACTGACATAGGACTTTGGGGAACAGATGCAGGAAAGGGGACCCCACAGTATAGCAGTCTAGTCTCTGGCATCCTGTGGTCTCTGCTGGGTCCAGTCCTGTGCCATCTAATCCTTGACATCATGAGCACCTGTCTCATCCAAGAGGTTAGAAGGTCCGTGAGTGACTGGAATGGGCTTCCTTCCTCTTTCCACTTCCCAAAGCTCCCACAGGTCTGCACATAGCAGGTGCTCAATGCTGCTGCTCCAAGGAGCTGTCCTCGAGCCTCAAGTCTGTCCCTGGAGGCTGGGCCGTGTGCCCTCCTGCAGCCCTCTGCACGCCATGTCACACCGGCAACTGCGTATTTCAGTTGGCAAAGCCCTTTGACACATATGTGGGATGTGTTCTTCACACAAGCTGTGCAAAAAGTGTCCCTGTCGCCCCCATCACCGTCATTAGCGTCATCTGCACAGCATGGCGCTTCATGTATGTGGGCTCCGTAGCTGGTCTACCCTACTAGCTGTGTGACCTTGAGTACATCACCTAACCTCTCTGTGCTTCAATTCTCTCTGCATGCTTCGAGATCAGAGCCATGTAAAATACAAAGACTATTACCTATCACACAGCCAGTACTTAATAACAGTAATGGTAGCTACTATCATCCTTTTGGTACACTGAGGATGCAGAAGGTCAAAGTCAAGGTCACCTGGCTCTGGTGCAGCAGGATTTTATCTCTAAATCTTTAGCTTCAAATCTGGTATTTGGGGATTATCTCCTGACATTACCCCCTCCCCCTATCTCTCCTTTTCACCCACTATCTTCATTTATCTGCCAATCATCTGCCTGTCCTTCTGGCTGGAGGGCCCCTGTAGAGAGGGCCCTGGAGTGTCCCTTCTCAGGTTCCCAGGCAGGACTGACGTCTTCCAGGCATTGTTCTACTGAAGTTTCTAGAAGCCTCTCCAAATGTTCCCAGATACAACTGCCTATCTCCATGAACCCATCACTATAATGAAGATGGCAAAACCCCAGAGCCTTCCTGTGCCTCTGAAATTCCTCCCTGTTAATATATAGATTTATTCCTAATGTACAGGTGGGAACACTGAGGCACAGAGAGGCTAACTGGAGACACTCAGCCAGCTGGCAACTACTATACGTAGCTCGTAGCTCCTCAGGTGGCAACGTGGACCCTCCTGCACTCCACATTTCCTGAATGGACAAGGGGCTCACAGGCAGAGTCTGAGGGAATTAGGAGTAGGTGGACACCCTGGAGGCATGAGTCCAAAGGGCTGACAACAGCAGTGCAAGGAGATGAGGCCAGAGTGTCCTAACACCAGGTGGTGACGTTGTGAGCCTTCGGGTCCTATGCTGGGTGTAGTGGGCGAGCGTGTGACTCCGTGACTGTGACAGTGTGACTGCTGAAGGCAGGGACATAGCAGCTCTCTGAGCTGGGGGTGGGAGGCGTTAACTGTGCCAGTGTCAGTGTGGGGGTGTGGGCCCTTGGGCCTCAAACCGGGGGCGAGGGAGGTAGTAAACACACGAGAGTGACTGGAGAATCGTGATGGCGGCCGAGATGCTGCAGGGCTGTGGGGGTTTGTGTGACTTTGCAGTTCCACAAATTCAAATTCTGCTAACGCCGGCAGCGCCAGTTATGTGCCAGGCAACCAGCTAGGAGGGGGAGGAGGAGGCAGGGCACGAGCCGGCGGCGCAGCCTGGCGTGTTCACCTTGTGGCTGGCTCCTCGGCGGTGCTCTGTGCCCAGGAATGGCATTAAATGCCTGCTTCGAGGCTGGATGGAGGGTGAGCAGAAGGGAAGTGACTTGCCCAAGGTGACCCTGCTATCCCTTCTCACCATGGCAAGACTGGAACCCAAGCTGTCGGCAGAGCCTTCTACTACGCCTGCGCAGGGTGAAAATGTCTGGTCCAGAAGACGTGGGGCTGGAGAGGGATGCTTGGACCCCAGACCCTCGGGGGCTCCGAGACATCTCCCTCAACCACGTGGTCTGGAATCTAGTCCACGGTCACTGTGCTGGGAGGGGGTAGATAGCCGCTCTGCCTTCCTTAGGGCCAGCTCCTTGAGTCCGGGGCTTCCCGGCTCCAATGAGACCCCTAGAGCCCGCCACACCCCAGGCCCTCCCCGGGCTCCCTCGCCGCTCCCCTCCCTCCTGGCGGCGCTGACTCCTGGCCAGAAGAGGAAAGGCTGTCTCCACCCACCTCCTTTATAAAAGGCCGGAACAGCTGAAAGGGTGGCAACTTCTCCTCCTGCCGCCGGCAGCGGCCGCCTGCCACCCCGTGCGCCCGCAACCTCCCCCGCTGCCTCCCTGAGGGCTCTCCTCCGGCCGCCAGCGCCCATCTTTCATTCTCGAGATACAGATATTTTGCGCACACATACACACACACGCGCAACAAGGGGGGGGGGAAGCCCACCCTCCAGCCTCGTTGCAAAGAGAAATCCGGAGCAGCCGCAGCTTGCACACCGCAGAGGACGCCCAGAGCAGCGCGCAGACGGACATAGGACCAGAGGACTCGCGCCGCGTCCACCTGTCGGCCGGGCCAAGCGCGCACACCGCACACGGCGCGCACTGAGCAGCCGTGCCCGCCACCCGGGCCCCGCGCCAGGGCGCACACGCTCCGGCCCCCCCACCCGGCCGGGGCAGGAGTTTGCACCTCTCCCTGCCTGGGTGCTTGGGCCGCTGCTGCAAAGCCAACTTTGGAAAAAAGTTTTGGGGAGGAAGCCTGGGCTGTGAGGTACCCAAGCCTGCGCTTTCTGATCTGGGGAGGCCATTCTGGAAAAATGTTGCAAAAAAGCTAAGCCAGCGGGGTCGAGGAAAACGCCTTTAGTCGGCGAGTGAGGACGAACCAGCGGCTGCCGTGTTCTTTTTTCCTCTCGGAGAATTGGAGTCCCCGGGGCGCCCCCACACGGCTAGACGCCTCGGCTGGTTCGCGACGCAGCCCCCCGGCCGTGGATGCTCGCTCGGGTTCAGGATCCGCACAGGTAGCGGCCGCGGACCCTGGTCCCGTGCCCAGGCCCTCCCCAGCCCCCCAACGACGGAGCCCAGGCCGGGGGCGGCGGCGCCCGGGGGCCATGCGGGTGAGCCGCGGCGGCGGCTGCAGTGGCCTGAGCTCCTGATCACAGCGGACCCGCGCCGAGCCCACCCTCCTCCCCAGCCCCCGCCCCCCGCCCTGGCCGCGGGGGCGGCGCGCTCGGTCCACGCGTCCGGGGCCCCGCGGGGCCGGGCCAGGAGTCGGCATGAATCGCTGCTGGCCGCTTTTCCTGTCTCTCTGCTGCTACCTGCGTCTGGTCAGCGCTGAGGTGAGTTGCGAAGGCGGCCGGGGGCCAGGTCGCTTCATTTATGACCCCACCTCTACCCTGACGACCCCTCCTTTCCCTGCAGTGAACTTTGGACCCTTGCAGCCCGAGGGCCTGGCGCTGGGTGACCTCCGAGGGCTGGGACGCGAGGCCTGGGGAGTGCCAGACTCTCGGGGGAGGGGGCAGCAGTGGCTTGCTTTCCTGATGCCCTAGCCTTTTAGCGTCCCGGAAGGGTGTGTGTGGCCCTGCCCCCACCCCTCAGAAACCCGAGAATAACCCCCCTCCGGACCGAGAGGAGAGGGGGTGGGGTGGTGCCGAGGTCCACCAGAGTCCACTTCTGCGCCAGCTTGGGTTTATGGGGTGTCCAGGACCCGACTAGTCTAGGAGGTGTGCGCTCGCCCACCACTCTGACCGTCGGCATAGGTTCGAGTCCCATCCCAGCTTCTGCTCCGGGTTAGGGTGGAAACGCTCAGGGCCACCCTAGATAGCGATCCCGGGGCAGTCTGAGTCGGGGGCATTAGGAACTGAGACAGTGGACAAGCTTTTGGGCGCTTGGGGCAAGGCAGGAGTGGGGTTCTGGAAGGATCCAGCCCCGGGGCGGGGTGTGCCTGAGGCCCGCCATACCTGCGCCCGCCCTGCCTGGGGAAACACCGCGCTCCCCCGCAGCTGGGTGCGGAGCGGAGCGCGCCGCCTGCAGAAGCCTAGATGCAGTGGAGTGGGGGCTGAAACGTCTGCGGGAGCAATCAGGTCGGCTCCGGCTCCCACCCCTCCCAGCCTCACGTAGCAGTGAGTTGGCAACTCTCTCCCGAATCCAGGTGGGAAAGGGGGCGGGGCAGGGAGGAGGCGCGAGGTGCCGGGAGGAGAGTACAGCGGGGGCGCGGCGCGCGGGGGTCCCCGGGTCCGGTCCGCCTCCACTCGGCCTGCCGAGCCCCCACCTCGCCGCCCGGGGGAGGCTGGGCCCGCGTGGTCGCCCGCGTGGTCCCCGCGTGGCGCATGGAGGAGGCGGTGGCAGCGGCGGCAAAGGGGTTAAGGCTGTGAGCTCCGAGCTCGCGGCCAGTTTTTGGGCTGTCGCCAGTGCAGGTTGTTTTGACCACGGAGGAGCCGTCTCCTTTTGTTCTTGGGGCTCCTCGAGGGCCGCTGGCCGCCCTCCCCGGGGCCCCGCCCTTCCGTGGCCGCCCCCCGTGGTCCGCACTCGGGAAGGCGGGCGAGAGCTCTCGCTGACCGGCCGGCAAGCCCCTCCCGACGCCCCCTCCGCGCCCGAAGCCCCCTGGGCTGCGGCCAGCTGTTGGGGAGGGGGGACGGCTGGGCCCAGCTGCCGCTCGCCTCTCCGAGGGCCTGGGGGCTGGGCCCGGTGCCAGGGCGCCCTGGGAACGGCGGCACCCCCGCCGCTGCACTCCGCAGCCCACCCCGCCCGGCCCCCCGACTCGCTCACTCACCCCACGCATGCACACTCCTGGCCGGAGGCGATGCCGCGCTCGGGCGGGCGGCGGGCGCGTAGAGCGGCGGGCACGCACTACCGCGTTCCGGTGGCGCGCTCGCAGCCGCCACGCCCGTGCACACGCGGGGCGCCCGCGCGCGCACCGCACACAGACGCACGCACGGCCCTGGCACACGCAGCCGGAGCGCACGTGCGCGCACACCCACGCACGCACACAAGCACGCACAGTCAGCGCAGGTGCCCGCCCTCGCGCAACAGGTGGGCCTCCAAGGGCCCTGGAACCTTGGGCGATCCCATTTCCTTGGTGGGGGGGTGCCTCAGAGGCAGAGGAAGGGGGCATCCTCTCATCAAGTCCAGCTCAAGAGCATCCACTTATATATTTTGTCAGAGCAGCTCCACGCCCTTCAAACCTGGGTGAATGTTGTTTTCTTTTTTTTCAACTAATCTCAAACCGTGTGTCCGAAAATGGGGCGCTGTGATTTCAGAGCCAGTTCTTCCTTCAAATCAGCCCTTATGTGAACCTGAGAGATGGGAGACAGGCTCCCATCTTCCACCACAAGGAGGACTGGGGCGGTACCTGGCTCCCACTATTGAATGTTTCCTGGTGGCGCTGCTCGCAGCTGCTGGGAGAGATGTTCCCAGGCCTCATCTGGCCATTTCCAGCTTCCTCCAGCACCCCTCCCCCTTTCTTCCCCTCCGTTCACTTGGAGGGGAGGCGGTGGCACAGAACCCCGCCTTTCTGCGCACTTTTAATCACAGCACCCTGAACATATGGCCCTTTGGAATCCAGGCATCCGCTGGCAGCTAACAACAACATCATTATGGGGGCCAGCACAGGAAGAAGCTCTTAATTGCCAGTGCAGGGATCTTTGAAAAAAGGGCTTTGGGGCTGGTCCTGTCGCTGGGCATACTAGGGCTGAGGCTTGGGAGGTGGCAGGGAAGGACCGGTGGGCTGCTCAGAGCAGGGCTGGGCCGGGGATCTGTGTGTTCTCTGAGGTGACAGCTAAGCTGTGTTCTGGGCGCTGCCTGCTTGTGGTCATGTGATGCCCCAGGCTGCACTCTCTTCTGCTGGGAAGGAGGAGGGGGCACCCACAGCTTTTCACCACCCAGCTCACCCCTACTTAGCTGATGGCCTTGGATGGTGGGAAAAGGAATTACTGGAACTGCTCAGCCTCAGAGGTGTGCAAGGCCAGGATCAAACGGAATTTGGACGTCCAGGTACAAGAGCTAGGATCCGTGTGAGAGAGAGAGAGAGAGAGTGAAAGACAGAGACACACACACACGACAGAGACAGAGAAATTGCTTCAGTCAGCCCAGTGAGGAGGTGCTCAGCGTGGATCCATCTCACTTCTGGTCTATTTAATTTTGTTTTCAGTAGTTTATTATCTCTCCTCCCCTTTGGAGTGTAAACTGCCCTGGAAAGCATTGTGCTTGTCACCACTGGCCCCTTTTGTGTGCTGAGTGGACAGTCATAAATGTTTATGAAAGGAGCTTGACTGGCACTTTACCAGCATGGCCTCCGTCAGTGGTCACCCTTGAGGGCAGCTGGCCAGGCCACTCAGCCGTCTGGCAGGTATCGGTCTTTTCCAGGACCCTCCATCCTGATGGACGGCATCTTTATCTTTGCCTTCTTGGGACTTGGACCGGACAGAGGGGGACAAAGAAGAGCTGAGAGGAGAAGCAGTTGTGAAGGCTCTGTGTCTCTAAAGCAAATCCTTTGCCCTTTCTGGGCCTCAGTTTCTCCCCCTGGAGAAACCAGAAGTTTGGATTAGCTGCCAATTCTCCCAGAGCAGCAGAGCTGGCTATGCAGATTCCCTGGCCTGTGGGCTGCTGCGTTGTAAATCGCAGGGCTGGCCCCTGTCTTTCTACTCCAGCAAGAGAGTGAGGAGCACTCACGGGCAGGCTACCATTAAGAGGGTGAGGCCTGGCAGAATGGTCCCCAGAGCAATAAGGGTGGGAAGCGCTGTTTCTAAATGTCTTCTGTGGTCAGCCCTGAGTGGCTTCTTCGAAGAGGTCGGCTCTGGCAGCCAAACTAAATAAGGCCTGGGATTCTCCGGCAGGCGGGCACTCTTGGCCTTGTCAGCTTCTCCCTCTGCCAGCCGCAGACAACACCCCTGGCTGCTTGGACGGAGTTGGAGTCTGTGTCTTCCTTGGTGGGAGCGGCAGGCAGGGTGGGGAGTGCCTATCTGTGTGTTCGCTGGGGCCTAGGCAGAAGGTGGGGTTCACGCCCCTTTGATCTGCCAGCCGGGTTGGGAGCAGGTAATTCACCTGGCCTCCTGCTCGTGCCCTTCCTACCTTCTGCAGCTGGCAGGGGGTGGGGTAGGGAGGAGGCTGTTTGCTTTGGCTGCTGTGTGGCTGGCTGGGCCCCAGCTGCCTCCTTGCCACGCCCTCATGCTGCCAGGAACCCCAGGCCTGGGATCTGGGGCAGCTTCATCAAAGCACCCAACCTTCAATATTACTCTCCCAGGGGCAGGAGACACAGAGAGGAAGAGGAGTTGCTCACTTAAGGAAACTTCTAGAACACTTGCAGACCAAGAGAAGCCCTAGCCCAAGCAGGTGGCTGTGTAGGTCTTTCTCCTTCCCCAGGGCATGCATCCTGGAGCACCTACCCCCAGCCCCGGAAGGGCCTGGCCTGCCCACACGGTCCTCAGCAGTGCCAGCGTGGGCCTCAAGTGCCATTTCCTGTGGCCTAGCTCAGAGGATCACACACAGTCACACTCTCCCTGTGGGTAGGCGGCTCTCCACCCACCTGCTGCCATCCTCAAAGATGTCCTGTGCTGCCGGGCACAGGTGTCACTCGCTGTTGCCTTCAAAGGATCACAGTGAAAGGATGAATGATGGGAACGGTGACAGCTCATTGTTGTGTGTTGATTTTGATTCGCAGTCACGGTACGGGATAGAGGAGAGTCAAGTGCACTCCAGGGCTGCGGGCTCCAGGAGCAGGTCACGCGTGGAGGCCTTAAAGCCACTGCACCACCAGGCGCACTGAGGACTCATTCAGTGCCCGTTACTTGCTGCTGCTCTGCTGGGCACCGTCACCCAGGCCAGATATTATTAGTGCTGTTTGAAAGAGGAGGAAGCTGAGGCTTTGGGTTATAAAGAGACTCACCCTAGGTCACGCTGTGCTCAGTAGCGAAGGCTGGGCCATGTCCACATCCATCCATCCATCCACTGGCCTTTGGGATGTGGCGGGCTGTCCTTTGCTCTGTGGGAGATTTTGCAACCACCCTGGCCTCAATGGACTGGACACCAGTAGCATTTCTCTAACTAGAGCCTGGTAGTGTCTCCTGACCCTGCAGTGTCCCCTGGGGCCACATCCCCCTTCGTTGGACACTTCTACTTCAGAGACAAAGAACCAATGTGACCCCAGTATAGTCCTTACGGCCAGATGGAGGCCAGGCGACGCAGAGACCCTCCATGGTGGGCTGAGTGGGTGGCCGTCTGGAACCTGGGTGCAACCCAGCTCTGCCACTTACCAGGCTTGTTGCTGTTTGCTTCATTTGTCTAAACCTCAGTTTCCACATCTGGAAGGTGGGAATGAAATGGCGCTAGGCTCATGGGATTGGTGGTTTTTGAGGCATGTGACTGTACCTGGCACATGGTTGGCATTTGGTAATGTTAGTTGCGGTCTTATTTTCAAATCCAGGGGCCGGTAGCGAGTTCGAATCGCTGGTGGTCATATTACCAGAAGTATATAAAATAATAACCTCCAACTTCCAATAACTTGGGACTGTTCAGGAGGTAGTTTGCTTGTGGGGTGCAGAGAGGACTTCTCAGATGACCGTTCTGGTGAAGGAGGTAAGAGGATGATGCCCAGGAGAACCCCAGAGAGGAGAGGTCTTCGTGTATTTGATCACTGTTTATTGAGCACGTACTGTGTGCATTGCCCAGCTCCTCAATCTCTATCCTGGACCCTCCCCTACTCAATCTTAGAGAGTCAGATTTTCCCATAAACTGCCATCTAGACATGGGTCTGGGGCATCCAGTTGGGCCCTTGAGAGGGGGGTCCTTCCATTGCCACTTTAGTGGCAGCCACAGGCCAGCTTTGCTGTGGGCCGAGGACCGAGTGGCATGAACACCTTGGGCCCTTGAGCCCTTCCTTTTGAAGGCACCTGGATGCCCACTTCACAGACATCGGCAGCTCCGTCTGTGTGTGAGCCAGGGAGCTTAGAAGCGATCCTTCTCTGCTCTCCTTGCTGCCACTCCTGCTGTCCCCAAATCAAATGCTCTTCAATTCCCTTCATTCACAGGGGAGAGGCAGGGCCAGAGAGGGCGTTGGGCTAGCCTGAGGTCACACAGCATCCTAGCCGTGCATAGAATGAGTCCCAGATCTGGACAGCAGTGCTGGGTTTGCCAGAACTCCCAAGGGGGTGTGGCTGTCCTTGGTCCATTTGGAGGTTTCCAAGGGCATGTCTGTCCCCAGGACTGAGGGGTGAATGTGATCACAGATCGAGAAAAGGAGGAAGCTAAGCTGAAGTCCCCTTTCTCGTTGGTGCATGCAGCTTCAGACTGCTGCCTACCAGCTCTGACATAGGAGCACAGAAGGATCCCCCAACTCTCTAAACCGAAGCCCCCTTTCTCCCTGGTGTATGCAGCCTCTGGCTGCCGCCCACCAGCTCTGACATAAGGACTCACAAGACAGGAACCCCAACTTCTGGACCCCCAAACCAACTGTTTCTACCCGAACCACTTATCAACCATAGATAACACTGGGCTCCTAAACTCATGTTCAGGGGTCCATGAAATGTTGGCAGTTGACACTCACCAGAGGTGCTTTGGAGGAAAGACTTGGCTGTTTCCAAAAATCAGCAATGGAAAACCCATGGAGCCATTCCACACTGCCATACACAGTGTCACCAGGTGTCAGAATTCACTGGTGAGCCATTTAGTCAAGGGGAAACTGAGGCACAGAGCGATAGAACCTGAAGTTTGTCAGCGAGGAGGTTACATCTGCAGATGGCATGTCCAGGACGCATCTGGGCATTTGTGTTTGTGGAAGGAGCCTTGGTAGCGTAATGCACACATATCAGGCTGTTAAGTGAGAATTGGCAGTTCAAATCCACCAGCTGCCCCTTGGGACAAACTGTTGTCCTTCTGTAAAGATTGGCAGCCTCCAGAACCCGATGGGGCGGCACTGGGAGTTGGAGCTGAGTCGATGACAGTGGGTTTAGTTTGGACTTTGGAGTGTGTGTGTGTGCGTGCGTGTGTGTGTGTGTGTGTGTGTGTGTGTGAGAGAGAGAGAGAGAGATGAGTACGGGTCTCAGTTTTTGGACCCCTTGGCTCTGTGGATCGTGTGGCTCAGTTTCTCACTCTTGCCTTCTTGGGACCTCTGATATCACCTCCTCACTCTTGTAGGGGGGTGGGGGACGCAGCAGTGACCTCCCTATCAGGCCGTGGTACCTGCGACTTCCCAGGAGGAAGCCAGCTCCAAGTGGGGCCTGTTGAAGCGCTTACTGAGTTTCAAGTGTCTGGGAGCCGTCCAGAGGGGCTCTAAAAATAGGGTGTGACAAGCCGGGCCTGGGGTCGGCTAAGCTTTCAGGTTTCCCGGCCGACCCTGAGGATTCCCTGTGCTCCTTGCTCAGACGCGAGATTAAGTGGGGCTCGCTCGCTGGTATGTGTGGCCTCCAGAGATGGGCAGCTTTTGTGAAGCACAAACAGCTACGTCTTGGAAAAGGTGCAGCCAGAGCGCTCCCTCCTTAGAGACAAGGGTGGCGACGCTTCGTCTCACAAACTTGGGGCGTGTTGCTCGAAGGGGTCATTCCTTGGACAGAGTCACCAGGCTTGGACAGAAAAGGAGGGGAGGACTGATGTATATTGCATTGGAACAGATGAGGGAGAGAACTGTTTAAAAGGGACATATGAGTGGGTATTCTTGTCACTACAGAAGTCCAGAGTGAAGGCTGCATAGTGGAGTGGACTTGGCGGGAGGGATTGTATAACAATGAAAGAGTTTTACTTTTTAAGGAGAAGAGTGAATTGGGGGGCGGGAGAGGGTAGGCAGGGAGAAAAGTGCAAGAATGAATGACTAGAAACCCCAAGTCTCTGTAAACTTTCATTAATATTAAGAAAAAAATACTTAGGAATAACTCGAACCAGAGACACAAAGGACATAAGGAAAAAAAAAGAAAGGTCAGTGAACAAGAGGAAGACCCTCAATGAGATGGATTGACACAGTGACTGCATTAGGGGGCTCAAGTGTGAGATGATGAGGATGGCGCAGGATAGGACAGGGCTCAGATCTCTTCATCACGGGGTCACTATGAGTAGTACTCACTGGCTGGCACATAGTAACTGTGCCCCGGGCTCTGTAGTTAGAAGGCCTGAGGTCGGAAGGCAGCCTCTGCCGATGAGCAGCGTTAGAGCCTTGGACAATTGGTAGCACCTCTTTTTCAGCCTCTGTTTTCTTCTCTGCAGAATGGACTTCAGATCTCCTTTGATGATTGTGGGGTGTTATTAACTGTCAGATGGTGGGGATAAGCAGAGACAAAGTAGACTGCCTTAGCCTTCTGGGAACCTGGTGTGTGATAGGGCAGACAGACAGACAGAGAGACAGATAAGATCAAATCTAAGTTCAAGCAAATGATGGTTCCTGCTTGGAGGTGAGGGTGCAGTGTTTGTGCTCCTGGCTTTCAGGACCCCGGATCCCTCTCTTCTCCCTGGCTGTCTGTCCATTTGTCTTGGGACAAAAGTCTGGGAGTGTGTGGGTGAGGGAGAGGACCTTAGCTGGGAGCCTTATTCCTGGCTCACTCGACTCCCATGTCCACTGCAGGGTGACCCCATTCCTGAGGAGCTTTACGAGATGCTGAGTGACCACTCGATCCGCTCCTTCGATGACCTCCAGCGCCTGCTGCATGGAGACTCTGGAGGTAAACTGAGTCATGTTTAGTGTCCTGGCCCTCTGAGAGCCCACAGACAACTGGGAAGGTCAAGCAGGGGTGGGTGAGGACCCTTCTTCTCTGACAGCAAGAGGAAGCTGGAACCCGGGAGGGACCGGCTGCACGACAGGCAGCGCTGAATGGGCGGGCAGGTTGGTACCTGGGGCCCGAGGCGTGGCAGGAGCAGTACCCACATGTACTCTGGCGGCTGGGAGCAGAGGGTGGAGCCTGAGAGGGGGTGGCCAGGGAGAAGGTGCCTGAGCCTCTTAGGAGTCCTATCCAGGTGCAGACCCAGCCTGGAGGGTGGAGCTGCAGGAGCCCTCTCCCTGCCACCCTGGCAGAGGGCCAGCTCTGAGGTCTCCCCGGGACACCTGGCCTGGACCAGCGGGCAGCCCTGCCCATGCCCGCGAGTGCACGCTCAGTTGGGCACGTGCTTGATGGCACACAAGTGGCAGGCTGGCGGGCCGGTGGGGAATGTATTTATAAACGCTGTCTTCAGAGCAAATTCCATTCTATTCTAACCTCTGGCCTGCTCCCTGGAGCCCTGGTCAGCACCCCCCTGCACCCCTTCCCTCTGGGGTTTCGTCTCTTTGTCACTTTGTAATCCTTGCCCAGACGCTATCTATGGGGGACAGCATTTCCTGCCTTTGTTTTCTCTCAACGTTGGGCCCCTGGCTCCCTCTCAAAAGCATTCCCGGGCCCTTTCAAACCCGCCTGCGCTGGGGGGTCGTCAGGCTAGCGGGAGGGGGCCCTAGCTGGGCCCACCTATTGTTCACCAGGCCCCTCACCCGTCGTCTCCACACCCCCACCCCATGCCCGGCTGGCCAGCCCTGGCCACACAATGGGGCAACTTCCAAATTTAGCCTTGCTGCCATTTCTTTCCAAGGTCCTGGCCCTCGCCCTCCAGCAGCCCATCCACACCCGGGTGGGGGGTCCGGCTCTGCCCATGAGCTTTTCAATAGCAGGCCTGTTTCGAGGCAACCATGTGGCTATTTTTTCCTAATCGACTTAACCTTTCCATAAAGTCCATCTTTTCCCCATCTCCTCCCCACCAGGGACATTCCAGAGATGGCAAAGAGAGAGGAAGGGAGCAAGGGACAGACAGACAAGCTGATATGGCAGCAGTATAGGCTACTGGAAATGCACTCGTCACCAGAACCAGCTCCTCCAAACAGGCTCCCTTGCTGAGAGTTGGGGGGGGCTCCCCTTGCATGGGGAGTGCTTGTTTCCAACACCCTGTCTTTATCTGCTGGCTCTGCACTCTCTGGAGAGAGCTCTTCCCCATGAAGTCAATGTCAAGTTCAAAGTCCTCTTCTCCAAGTTCACCGCCTGCCCAGCAGCTGAGGGCCAACCTGTCTAGAGATGGGTCACCTCTCCAGGGAATGCTGGCGACATTGAAGCAGCCCAGGGCTGTCCAGGCCTGAGAAGGAAGCTGTCATGTGTGACCCTGGGTTAAAGGGACAGTTTGGGGCAGGCATGGGGCAGAGGTTAGAGCAGAGAGAGAGAGAAAAAGAGACCACGACCTCGCAGACAGAGCCCATTGCCCACTCCCCTTCTCTGCATGGAGCCCCTACCCTCCAGCAGCCAGCCCCCTCCCACTCTTTTCTCCCTCCCTTCAGGGCCATTGTCCAGCTCCAGAGGGGCCGTGGCCAGGGCAGGCTGGTCCCTCGTGGGGATTCTGGGAATTTCTCCATCCAGCACTTCCTATGGGAAAGCTGTGTGGAGGGGGCATGAAGCCTGGCCTTGAGTCCTCAGGGCCGCGCCCCAGCCTGTGGGCTGAGGAGGGTTCCCTTACAGTAGTAAAGGGAAAGGCTTATTTTTAACTCTGTTGACTGGATTCTGGCCAAAAACATGGCTGAGGGGCCTGGAGTGGATGCGGTCAGGGCCCTGTCACCTTGAACTGCCTGGCAGCCTCTCTTCACAACCACAGCCTTGACTCACAAGGGTTAGGAGGGCAGTGTGTTCTGGAGTGGGGTGCTCCCGGCCTTGACTTTCTTGCCCATCACGACCCTCACCCGTGACTGGGACAGCCAGCTGTTGCCCTTGGTGGGTCTGACTATGTCTCTTGTGTTTTTGCAGAGGAAGATGGTGCCGAGTTGGACCTGAATTTGACCCGATCCCATCCTGGCGACATGGAGAGCTTATCCCGGGGGAGAAGGAGCCTGGGGCAGACGGAGAGTAAGAACAGGGGCCTCCCAGGAAGGGGGGGCAGGCAAGGAGCACTGGACCATGTGGGTGTGTGGGGTTTAGGGTTCCCTCCAGGCCAGCCGAATGGGGTTGCTGACAGCTCCCATCCCCCATGCTCACTGCTGGGCTGAACACAGACTCTAACCTGCTCTTCTGTGCTTCGTGTCATCCCAGCCCCACGCCAACACTGTTCCCTGAATGTAACACTTTCACACGCCTTTCTTCCTTAGTCTGACCTTGGAGGTTGTTGTTATGTGCCATCGAGTCGCCTGTCACTCAGAGCAAACCTATGTACAACAGCTCTGAACCCTGTTCTATCCTGAGCCAACATTATTGTCTCTGACACACCTACCCCCATTACCCCAGTCACTGAGTCAATCCATCTCATCGAGGGTCCTCCTCTCTTGCGCTGTTCCTCCACCCTCCCAAGCATGACGTCCCTCTCCAAGGACTGGTCCCACTTTGCAACATGCCTAAAGTATGTCCAATGAAGCTTCAGAATCCTTGCCGCCAAGGAGCAGCCTGGTTTTACCCTCTCCAGAACAAACCTGTTTGTTCTCCTAGCAGTTCATGGTATATTTAATACTCTTCTCCAGCACCACAGCTCAAAGGCATCGATTCCGTTTCTATCATCCCTAGTCATTGTCCTGCTTTCTGACGCACAGCAAGTAATTGCAAATACAATGACCTGGATCAGGCGCACCTTAGTCTCCAGACTGACGTTATTGCTCTTCAGTACCCTGGAGAGGTCCCTGACAGCTTACTTTCCCAATGCAATTCATCTTTTAATTTCCTGGTGGCTGGTACCAAGAGTGTTGATTGTAGAGTCAAGCACACTCTTAGAGGTAGATATTGTTAGCTCCCTTTGACATAGTTAGAAACTGAGGTTCAGAGAAGGTAGTCCACTAGCCCAGGGTCACACAGCTGGGAAATGAATCCCCATACATCTCACCTGAGCCCAAGGCAGTCTCTGGGCGCTTCATGGCTCTGTTTGTGGCTAAAGGCTGTGGCCTGGGGTACAAGCCAGGTGTAAAGCCCAGGACCCACCTCCAGCTCCGTGACAGAGAGAGCAGGAAAGAAGTGTGTCCCTGGGCCCCAAGGCCCTCCTGTTCTTGACAGGACTCCAGCCTTTAGCCAGAGTGTACGGGGAAAGCGCCAGCCCCGACCTGGGTGACTGGAGCCTCAGCCCTCACTCTGAGGGTGTGGACAGCGAGTTAGTTTTCAGATCCTTGGTTCTCCATACATGAAAGATGACAGCTTCGCTCCCAATGTCTGGGTACATGCAGGGGCCGTGCTTTGCCTGTGTTAACCCCTCCCATCCTCATGCAGTGTTGTTATTGTCCCATTTCACAGATGAGGAACTGAGGCTTTGAAAGAAACAATGTACACAGGGAACACAGTGTGAGACAGGGATAAGCAAGTAATACACAGTGAGGACCCCCGAGGAGGGCAGAGCCAGAAAGGCCTGAAACCACAGAATACGAGGGCTGCAGGCTGGTGAGAGGAAGTGAATCTCTATCGCCATTGTGATGAAGAAAACACACAGCAAAACATAAGCCTTCTCGACATTTCCTCCACATACAATTCAGTGACATTGATGGCATTTTTCAAGTTGCACTAAGCTCACTGTTCAGTCCACTATTATTAACATCAACCCACTGGTTCCTAAGTAAATTTCCTTCCTTGGGAAACGAATCTTTCTTGAACATTCTTCCTCTCTGAATCATCTCATGGCAGCATCTTGGGTGGGCTGCTTGTCGTCCCCATTGTGCAGATGGACAAGGGCATCTCAGTTGTTTGCCCACATGCTAGGCTGCAAATAGCTGAATCAGGACTCAAAACCTCTCAGGGCACCTGTGGTCTCCTAAGCTCCACCTCAGGGGCTTCCGGCTTCCTGCCAGGTGGGGCCAGGGGCACTCCAGGGAGGCCTTCCTTCCTAAGGATACCCCCTTCCACCTTCAGGCACTCTGAGTGTCGCTGAACCGGCCGTGATTGCCGAGTGCAAGACGCGCACCGAGGTGTTCGAGATCTCCCGACGCCTCATCGACAGCACCAACGCCAACTTCCTGGTGTGGCCGCCCTGCGTGGAGGTGCAGCGCTGCTCCGGCTGCTGCAACAACCGCCACGTGCAGTGCCGGCCCACCCAGGTGCAGCTGCGGCACGTCCAGGTGCGCAGACCCCCGTCCTCCAGGCTGGGCCCATCCGTGGGCAGAGGAGCATCCAGCAGGGTGGGGGATGTGGGGATGAAAGGTGTTTTTGCAGCTCACCTGGGCAGGTGTGCTGAGTCCTTCCTGGTAGTTCAGGCTGCTGTAACTCCAAAAAGCAGATGGAGGGGCTCCAGGCAGTGTTAGGGGGTTAGGATGGGAAAGAAGAGAGAACCATCTGCAAATGTGTCCTTGACTCAGGATGGTTTGAGCACCTGCTAAGGAGCCCCTGAAGCCCCTCCTTATTTGAGGCTCAGGTCTGGTCTTGCTCCGCCCAGAGGGGGACTCAGTGAGGTTCCTGGGTGTCTCAAGCACCTGTTGCCACCCTTGACAAGCTGTGTCTGTAACCAGGCGGGTGCAGTGACCCGCCAACAACAGATGCACTGAGAAGGGCCGGCTCGCCGCCAAACGGTTGGAATGCGGCGCGCAGCCTTATCTTTTCCAGAGGGGCTGGCTTTACACACCGACTCAGGGAAAGAATTTTCAGGCTGAGTGGATCCCAGGAGCTCCCTGTCCAGGCAGGGCTGGGCCAGAGGCACCTCAGCTGCCTTCTGATTCATGTGGAAAGGTTTCTGCGTTGCCTGGGCCAGCCTCTCCCACTTGGGATGGCCTGAGCCCTGGGCAGCTGGCCACACAGCCTCCAGCCCAGCTCTGGCCAGCGAGCCAGCCTGCCTCGTTGCTTTGCCATGTGCTCTCTCTTGTCAGCTCCCGGCCTTTCCTCCTGGCCACCTTCCCTGCATTGGCCCTCCTTCTGTTCTGGCCTGAGTCCTGTACCTGTGATCACAAGGTCACTCTCTCCCCAGCCCCAGCTGTCATGCTATCTCCTGCCCCCGATGCTTCCATCTCCACGACAACGGCCACCTGACAAGTGACCTCAGCCTCCCTCCTCCCCTTTGATAAAAAGCCTGCCCCCACTTCCTTCCAGACAGCCATCCCCCACTTAGCCGCCACCCCTGACCTTGGCTGGCGCTCAGGGAATGAGGACACCCCTGCCCTGAACTCAACCGGAAATACCTTTCTCCCCCTCCTAGGGGTACCCAGGGGGGCCATGGCCAAGCAGGAGGCCAGGTCGGGAGGGTTGTTTTGATGGAAAAGCTAAGAGAAGGGCAAAGGGCAATGTGCTGCTATTGTTCAGGCCAAAGTTTCTGCCCTGCAGGCTGGGCTTTCGAGGAAAGACTGACAGGGACTCCACACGTGGGTGGATGGACGGCCCTCATGGCCCTAGTGTCCTCTATAGAAGCGGTTTGGTGATTCCACCCTCCAGGTGAGAAAGATCGAGATTGTGCGGAAGAAGCCCACCTTTAAGAAGGCCACGGTGACTCTGGAGGACCACCTGGCGTGCAAGTGTGAAACGGTGGTGGCCAGGAGGCCCGGGACTTCTCAGGAGCAACGAGGTGACCCCATCCCCTGGCTGGCCTCTCCCTCAGCCCTCCCTCCTCCTCTCAGTCCTGGGGGACCTCTTGGAGAAGGAGAAGGATCCCAGACCACTTCCCTAGTTCCGCTCACCGGAGGCTTTCCAGCTCAGATAGTAACCCGGATTCCTCCCCAGCCTGGGAGGTCTGTCCGACATGGTGGAGCAAGCCAGCCACTGCAGGCAATTGGTTCCCCTCACTTAGCCCAGTGCAGCTAACTGGGCTGGCTGCTGCCTTGAGTGGTGGTACACGTTTCTGCCTCAGGACCTTTGCACGTGCCCTTCCTGTTGGAGCCCATGGCTGCCAGCTCTTCACAAGCCTGGCACCTTCCTAACCATCCTGTCCAGAGCAGCAGCCCCTATTCCAGACTTGCTCCCTTGTCCTCCCTCTTTGCCACATGCATTGGTGGAATCAGCCAAAGTGTGGATAAAGAATATTGTCCCCAACAATGGGGTAACTGGTCCTGGGAATGGCAAAATCTGTGAAAGCTGGGCGTACAAGGCAAAAACCTGTCAGAGAAGGAAAACTCAAATCCAGGCAGGTCTCGGGAGGAGGATACATGGAAGTGTTGGTTTTTCAGTGCAGATAAAAGTAATGTTCTACTAGGCTATGGTGTTATATACTGTCAAGTCAGAACTGACATGTAGCTGACCCTCCAGTGGATTTTCAGAGGTAGTAAATCACACAGAAGGAGGTTGCCTGTCTTGCCTCAGCAGAGCAGCTGGTGGATTTGAACCAGCAGCTACAGCGGATTTGAACCAGCAGCTGGTGGATTCAAACCGCATTCCTTTGGATTGGCAGTGCAAATTCCTCACCACTAAGCCACCAGAGCTTCCCTGCACTATAGTCTATTTAAGTGTGCAAAAGCATAATGGAAAGGCCAGGAATATTGCAAGGATTGACAAAATAGGACCTAGAGCTGTGAAACGAACATAGGCTTTTGGAAAAATGGCACTGACCGAATTGCTCACTGCTGTAGGGTCGCCACCAGCTGCCACCTTTGCTTTGTAAAAAGCGCGGTACCTTCAGGGCACAGTAAAACGCAGCACAGTCAACAAGGTTTGCGTGTGTGGTATTTCCCACTGAAGCATGTGATAGAAAAGTGCTATGATAGCACCTGTCAGAGGCAGAAACCCACTCAGGCCCAGAAAACGGAGGCCCTTCCTGCTGAGTTCTGACTTCCACAGGTTTCACTGTACCTCTGGTGGTCTTCAGAAACAGGACGAGTGGAGGAAAGCCGAGAGAGAGGTTTTAGCTTCATAGGTGGAGAGACAGGTGAGCATCCTGGGTTCCAAGACAAGATTGACTGCCTTGTGAGGTAGTGAGCTCCCTATCCCTGGAGCTATGCAAGGACCTATTGGGCGACCATGAAGCAAGGATGTGACAGATGGGACTGTAGAGAGTTCTGTTCTTATCCTTAGACTTCATGAACTTAGGCTCAGGGGTGTGGTTTGACTTAAAGAGGAGAGAGTTGTATGTGCTGTTGAGTCGCTTGCAACTCATAGCGACCCTATGTACAACAGACCTAAACCCTACTCTATCCTGTGCCAGTCTCACTGTCTCTGACACACCCACCCCGATTACCCAAGTCATTGAACCAATCCACCTGCACTGTCCCTCCACCCTCCCAAGCATGACGTCCCTCTCCAAGGACGGGTCCCTCCTTGCAACATGTCCAAAGTATGTCAGATGAAGTCTCAGAATCCTTGCCTCCAAGGAGCAGACTGGTTTAACCCTCTCTAGGATGAACCTGTTCATTTTCTTAGCAGTCCATGGTACATTCAGTACTTTTCTCCAACACCACAGCTCAATGAGGAGAGGGAAAGCCTTGAAAAGTGGACTTGTCTGTCTGCCTGCTTCATTTTATGGCAGAAATACCCAAAGCCCAGAGAGGCTGAGGTCCACAGGCACCCCAGGTGCCTGGAACTTGGGTATTCTAACTCTCGCTGGCAACCCCATGTCATCACTGGCTCCCACCTGTCTTGCCGTATTTTTACATTTTAGAGCTAGAATGGACCAGAGAGCTGGCTTCAGTGTGACTAACAGGACCGCTGGGGCTCAGAGAGGTTGAGCAACTTAATGGAGGTTTCACAGAAGCAAAGCCTTGCCTCGAACTGAGGTCCTAACCATGGCATCTGTCCCTGGATGCTTCCAGCTATGCCTGTCTCAAGTGTTTGCTATGAGGATGAAAAGAAAAATTCCTAAATGAGGATTTTCTTTAAAAAAAAAATAATCACACAATGATAGTGTGGGTGTTTGTAACTTTTTGTTGTCAAGGAGCCTGGGTGTGCAGTGGGTTGTGTTATGCTTCTAGGGGATAGGTCAGCGGTTCAAATCTGTGAGCTTCTCTGAGGGAGAAGGATAAGACGGTCTCCCTCCACTGAGGTTTACAGCTTTAGAGACGCAATGGAGGGCTGCTGTGAGCAGAATCGACCTGGTGGTGGAGGCTCCTGCAGTCCTTTCTCAGGGGGTGCCTGGGGCAGGCTGGCAACTTGACAATTTCCAGCTGGTAGGGAGCGTAACATGGAGAGTAATTTTCCTGTTAGGGACAAATAATTTTCTTTTTTATGGTGAGAATAGAGCTATTTGCCTGATTTTGCTTCACTCAATTTCCCGGTTGCTCGGGAGGCACTTTAAACCAACGAACCTTTCAATGACATGCGAATCTCAGCATTTTTGGTCCCATGTGCTGGCTCTCCTGGCACCTCCAGGGCGTGTTCGGTGAAGGCTCGGTGGTGTGGCCTGCGGGATGTGATCAGGGCAGTACAGCTTGGGCTTTTGTCTCCACTCTGCCATTCATGGGGTGTGTGACCTTGAGCTTTGCCCAGCCCAGTGCCCCGCTGGTGGTGTAGAAACTCCCTGGGTCTTTCAATAGGGGTATTTGAGACTCATTGAATCGTTGAAACTCAAAAGCAGGCTCATCTGCAGGGACGATATAAGGGTGAGAAAGAGGTCATGGTTTCAGCCCCAGAGGGCCCAGTGAGCAGAGCCTGAAAAGTTCCCAGACACAGAAAGGGCAGGACAGAAGGCTTAGTGGATAAGGGAATCACAGGGTGGAAGTGGGAAGAGTGTAGTTACATTGTGGGGATTTTAACTGTTACAAAAAAAAATGTGTACCAATGTTTGAATAGAAAACCAAACTTTATAAACTTTCACTTAACTGACAGTAGAAGGAAAAAAGTTCCTAGGCAGAGGCCAAGGGGAACTGGCCAGGAGCGGTTTCATGGAAGGGCACTCATCTGGGACTTCAGAAGGGAGATGAGCCTTAGTGGTCGACTTGGCTGGGGCTTAATGGCACTCATCGTTTATGCCAGAGAGCTTGAAAGTTAAACTCCCTGGGTTCAAATCCCGGCCTTTCTGCCTTAGTCTCCTCATCAAGAAAATGTAGATAGTAGTTCTTGCTACTAGAAAGGTCAAATACTGTTTAGCGTATGTATGTTATTTAGGGAGTTCTGTATATATATTTTTTTGTTGTGTGCTGTTGAGTCAGAACTGACCCAGAGCTAGCCCTCTGGTGGTATCTCATGGCAGTTACTCACATGGGAGGAGACTGCCCATCCTTCTCCTGTGGAGCTGCTGGTGCATTAGAACCATGTGCCTTTGGGATTGCAGTGCAGCTTCTTACCACTAGGCCACCAGAGCTCCCTTGTATGCATATACCTATCTCTATCTCTCTATCTCTTTATTTCTCTATCTCTATCACTATCTCTATATCTGTATCTATATCATACACATCACACACTGGCGGGATAGGGTGAGTATTGGACTAACCAAAAGATCTCAATGGAACCATAAAAAGGTCAGTGGTTCGACTCCACCAGCTGTTCTGTGACAGTAAGCTGGACAGTCTCCTGTAAAGATTTACAGCCTCGGAAACTGCTAGAAGGTTAGAATTGTTTTGAGGAGAGTGAGGATAAATAAGTCTAGAGCATTCCCTGGGCCCTGGGGAGTGCTATTTAAGGGTGTGTGCGGTTCTCTCTCTCTCTGAACAGAGGAGAAACAGGAGGTCAGAGTTCTGAGTGGTTTTCCTGCAGCACGTGAGTGATAAGTGAGAGAGCTGAGATTTGAACCCAGGCGGTCTGGTCTGCAGCCCACAGATGACTCTCTGGCTTGCCCCACTGGACTCGCTCTGGGGAGGTGAGGTGCAGGGAGAGGACAGGCCAGGCTGTGCTGAAAGGGCCTTACCCCATGGTGGGGAGTGTGACTCAGGCCCGAAGGTCGCATTGTGGGGCCGGAAGGTGCCGAGGGACTGACAGGTGGAAACCCCGATGAGGGCCAATAAGAAGCCCCTGCTGTGGTGTCCACCCCCCTCACAGTGACCCTCTCTCATCTTCCCGAGGCTGTAAATCTTCACGGGAGGAGACGGCTCCTCTTCCTCCCGCTGAGCAGACAGTGGATCCGAACTGCTGACCTTGTGGTTAGCAGTGTAACACATTAAAGCACGTGGCCAGAGCTCTGAAGTAGAGTGCCTTATTTAAGGAACAGGCCAATCCTCGCAGCTGCTGGCTGTTAACTTCTGACTCGGCGTTTCACGGCCTTAAAAAGTCGTCATTGTATTGTCTCTCCTGGCCTGTGGCTTCACAGGCCCGGCTGGAAGTTTTATTGGATTTCTCGTGGTTGTGGTTGCAGATGGCACCAAGGGCTAGGGGCATCTGAAGGCCTCACTGGGCCCTGGGCCTCTTCACACCCCTTCATCTAAAGGTCTCTGAGGGGCAGCATGTTGTTGTGGTTAAGTGTCATCAAGTCGAGCACGACTCATAGCGACCCTGTGAACAAAAAGTCTGAACCCTGTTCTGACCTGCGCCATCCTCACACTTCCTGACACACAGATGTTCATTGCAGCAGTCACCGTGTCAGTCCACCTGGTGAGGGTCTCCCTCTCATTCACTGACCTCCCTTCCTTCCCAGCATCATGTCCTTCTCCAAGGAATAACCCCTCCTGTCAACAGGCCCAAAGTATGTGAGGCAAAGCCTCATCATTCTTGACTCCAAAGAGCACTCTGGCTTCACCCTCACCAAGACGTGTTGGCCGTCCACGGGATGTTCAGTGCTCTTCTCCGACACCACAGCTCAAAGGCGTCAGTTCTTCTTCTGTCATCCTTTTCATTGTCCAGTGCTCAGATGCATGGGGCTTTCCAGATAGAGGAGGTGGGAGCAGCCATGCATTGTTAGGACTGGAATGAGCCCACCATCCCCCTTTTTATCAGTGGCTGTTGTTCGATGTTACTGGACGATTCCAGCTCCCGAGTGACCCCGTGTGATGGAGCAGCCTGGCCTGCTAGGCGCTTCTAGGCTGCAAGCTTTGTGGACAGACGGCCAGTTCTGAGGAGCTGCACAATAGTTCACTCCAGTGGCCCCTGTCTTGGGCAACATGATTAGACAGAGGATTCTAGAGAAGTGGGCTCGTTTGTCTGCGGGTAAGACATGGTTGAGAGGATTATGTTTAGGGGATGGATTCAGTCCCTATGGAGTGTGAAGGATCTGGGCGGTTTCCAATAGGCATCTGTCTATGTAGTTAGTATTTCTGGTATGGAAAAGCCTAGAGGCATGTATTTGGGAGAAATCAGGTATCTATAAAGCATGAGATTATCCAGGTAAAGTGTCTATATGGGTGGGTTCGGGCTGATTGCCTCTAAGTGAGCATGCCAGCTCTTAGCTGTTGCATAGCCACGACTCCACTTGTTAAGTAAATCCACCAGTACCCAGATTGAAGAGGAAAACTCCACCTCTTAACGAGAGAGCTTGAGGCTCTGTGTCAGGTGCTGTGTCGGGGGCCTTGTGAAGCCTGCCGTCATTGCTTCTCACGCCCTAATGGCCCCCTTTGCACGCTGGGATACAGAGATGGTCAGGAAGGGATGGCGTTGGGATTTATGCAGCAC